AAGAGTAGCTGCATTCGAAGGAAGTGAAAGGAAGCAATAAAACAGTTTATATAACCCATTTTAAAATGTAAACTTCTTCATGTTTAATATAGTAAACATAAAACAATGGTATAGTTCTTAAACACTTCAGAAATACTCATGTTCGTATTTGAAATCGGTTAAGGGTTTCAAATCTGTATAAGCATCTAAATCTGCTGTCACTTTGTATTCATAAAAATAAGACAATAGAAAAACACAGATTTGTAAATAGGTAATCTATTGCTTATCAAAGATTCAAGAATGTGAAAATAATGATCTTATACAATAGTTCTGTATACTTAATTACTTTTCAGTACCTGTTGTTGACAAATGATAATGCTTTGATTTTCCACTATATTCTTTGAAGAATTAAGCTCTAATAGTAGGAATCAGTCGAAACCCAAAAAAAAGATCTTGATGAAGAAGACTAATCTAATGCAAAAAGAAATGGATGCCAAATAAAAGAAGGAAGTTAGTAATTACAAAGATATAAAGGGTGTAAAAAAAGGGGTGTACATTTTCAGATCGTGTCATGCTCTGGTAGTTGTACATGCAGTTTTGAACGTGGTGAGAAAATTTAGGGTTTTAAGCTTCTTTTTTTATAGTTTTAATTTTTACTTTTTGTTTCCTTACGTGTTTCCAATAATGTCAATTTTTTTCTTAAACAAATTTAGGTATAAATGATGTGTCACAATATTATTGGTTGAGTGACTTGTGCTTTAGTATATAGAGGATATAATGACTTAGAGCATGTGCATCGCGATGGAAAAAGGGAGCGCTTAGAAAAAAAGGTGCAGGAGAGGGCCCACATCAAATAAGAAGTCGGCGTTTTGTTGCTCAGATAAGCGCCAGATTCTCGTGAGTTCTTGGCCAATTCTGCGGGCCCCACGACACGTGGCGACCCGCGATTGGTTGCTTTTTAATTTTTTCTTTTTTTTTTAAACGGAAAAGCAAAAAAAAAAATTAAAAAAAAATAAATTTTTTTTTTAAGCGTCCACGTCCACACTCTTCACATTCTTTATTTGATCATTTGAGGATCACGGAGTAAACACATAGATAAAACTTACTGTCATTTGAATATGTAATACTTTGTTTCATTATAAGTGTTACTTTAGGATCATGGAGTATACATAGATAAAATAATTAATTTTGCATATTTTCTATATAAAAACATAATTTTCATATATTTAATCATATTTCAACCAATAAAAATAAATTACATAATGAAATTAATAAATTTTATGTTGAAATCTGAAAACGACACTAACGAAAAAATTTCTCTACAACAAATATTTAATATAAAACGAAGAGAATATGGTTTAAGATGGTTTGGTTAAAAAAGAAAGAAGAAGATGATGGTTTGGTTTAGTAAGCTCAATAGTTAATCCATTCACCAAACATTACAAAGACTCCCACCCAATATATTATATTTTAAAACTATCTTTTTGAGTCATTTAAATTATCAGTATTAGATAGATAGATTGAATTATACAACTTAACAGTTTGGCAACCGACAGTTTAGGTCGAGCATATGCGTTGACGAGAGGTTTGAACATATCTTCGTCACGAGGCTAACAACGAACAATCAACGTGTTTCAATCGAAAGCTAAATAGAGGTCAAACTTTATTTTGTGAATATTTTGAATGTCGATAAATAGTTAAAAATATCAAATTTGACCCTACCTTTCCATATTGTTTGGTACATATGCATAGGTCACCCATCGTGGACATGTGCTTTTTCGGTGGATAGAATTTTTGTGAAATAGTATTAGATAAAATATCACTTGGAAAATTACTTATTTGAATTAGCATTCTCTTATATCAAATTTATACAACATTTTTTGGGATTTACTCGGTTCTATGACAATTTTACTTTTTAATATATAAATTAAGTATACATGTCAAGACAAATATATTTTGGATAATGGTTTACTAACTTGGATGAACATATTGAAATTTTGTTTCACAAGTGATATACTTATTTTCTCAATTTTCTTTACAATATAAGCTTGTTTTCTTATTTAAACTAGCTAAATTTGTTGAAGAAAATATATTTGTTTTTAGACACTTTTATTATATATCTTTCTTTGTTTTTGTTGTGAGTTGTGAGCTTTTGATTTAATATCTTTAGGATTTGCAAGTAGTAGTTTATTTTTTTGGGATCAATTGCAAGTAGTAGTATCATTGAACAAACCTTCCTTCGTGACCCATTTGTGTGTGGGGACTTACTTTTGCCAGATTAGATTGCATTCTATATTTATTCTATTCTACTTTGGACCCACTCTCCCACATGCACTTCTCTCTCTGTCACACCCCTAGCTCTTGCCTATTTATGCCACCCTTTGAACATTCTCTCCCTCACAACTCCACTTGAACCCTTTTTCTAAAAAATTCTTCCCACAGACAACAAAAGGCTAATAAAAAGTCTACTTAAAAGATAGAAATATGGCTTTGGACCTTGAGCTTGATGATGATGTCTTCTTTGCAGACATAAGCAAACAACTCAATCTCTTAATCACAGATGAAGATGAAGAGAACCCTATCTCACTTTCCTCTTCTGTCTTCCAGGTTTGTCCAAATTACTCTCTCTCGCTCTCTCTCTCTCTCTCTTGATTAGTGAATATATGTAGCTGATATTCTTTGAATTAAAAAAAAAACAGGGTTTGTTCAGAGAAAACCACCAAACATTAGCAACACCATATATGATGTACCATGAGCAGAACTACAACGTAATTAGAGAGAGCAAAGGAACAGGAGTGTTCATCCCAAGATGTTCTCAGCCAAGAAGGAAACAACATAATCATTCTCATCAGAAGAAGCAAGGGAAGGTCGGTTCCCTCATCCCCAAGCAACAGTTTCCAAATCATGTTTATGAAATCAACAACTCCACAACTCTTAACAACAGCCAAGAACGCATCACCTTTCATCATGCTCCTTCTACTAACCCAAGAAGAGCCTACAGAGATGCAGCATCTCTCTTCACTTAGTCTCCATCAAAATTCAAGACATTGATTTGTGTCACTAATTCATATTATAGATAATTGGTTATTTATATGTTATAGATTTTATGTTTGTAAAATCAGTAAATGATAAGAATGAAGGAGGAATCATCAATCTAAAGGGATTTGGTGTGATTTATGCAACTGTCAAGACGGACTAACTTACTCAGTCTTACCATATAATTGTACCATTTTGTCTAATTGTTTTAAGTGAAAAATAAACCCAATGGAACTATAGTCCTAAATGACCATCAATGTAGGAATTGATTTCTCTGGACCAGGACAACTCTCATGTGAGTTTGGAAAGTCTTCCATGTCAGGTCCAGAACCAATCCATCTCTTTAGGACCTCACAGTTTCAGAGTTAACAGTTATGCTGGCAACAATGTTTGAATAAACAAAAGTCAGATCTTAAGAGGAAAAAGACTGACGCAGACACAGAGTGATACCCACATGCCTACATGCCCATCACTCTTTTCCATATTATTATTTTAGTATAATTAATTACTTTTTTACTAAATAGACATAGAATTATATATGTATACATATATATATATTAAATCATTCGATCATGAGGGTCTGTAAAACATTCAAATATTTATTCTGAATGGATATCCACTTTTTTAAAAATTATATATGTATATTCTTCTATATAACATTTTTATATAAAAACAAAAATCACAGTTTAGACATTTCTGTGGACCAGACCAGAGCTATATGTTATATGTCAACTAGATGTAATTTTTTTTCGTAACTATTAAATGTCAAATACACATCAATACGTGAAAGTATGAACTCAAAATCTGTTTTTTCAGAAAGGGGTTTCAAACTCAAAATCGTTTTCTTAGTTGCAGAATTCAACCTCATTCTCTTGTGGAATCGGTTTTACCCGAATTAAAATAATTTCACAATATAATAAAATAGTTTATGTATCGCTTATATAATGTGTAATAAGATGAAGAAAAACATAACGTATTGTGTAGTGTTACAAAAAAAAAACTTAACGTATTATTTCGAATTTATTTGATAAAATGCTGTACATCGTATATAAGAGAGGTCTTATTCAACTAAAAACTTTCACCACTTCAACAATTACTGAAAGGTTAATAACCAAAATAACAAAAATAATTACAGCGCGAAATTCAAACGACCGGTTCAAATAGAAGGTCCTTAACCGAGTCGTTCGGTTCATTGGTTATCAACAAATCTGTTATGTCATCTTCTCCAGTGATCGATCACTGACCTGACCTTCACATCGCCGAGCTCGTCACGAGATCCAAAACTCTCATCTCAAATGGCGGCAACCTTCCTTCTCTTCCTCATCCCAATCATCCCACTCTCACTCCTCACCATCCTCTCCCTAATCACCCGCCCTCGCCCCATCAAAATCCCAATCAAATCCCGCCACGTCTTCATCACGGGAGGATCCAGCGGAATCGGCCTCGCTCTCGCTCATCGCGCCGCCTCAGAAGGCGCTCGCGTCTCAATCCTCGCCCGATCCGCCTCAAAACTCGAGGAAGCCAAAGAATCAATCAAGCTCGCCACGGGAGTCGAAGTCTCAACATTCTCCGCGGACGTACGCGACTACGACGCCGTTTCGAAGGCGGTAGAGGAATCTGGCCCCGTAGATGTGTTGATCGTGAATCAAGGAGTGTTTACGGCGAAGGAGCTGGAGAAGCATAGTGTGGAGGATGTTAAGTTTATTATTGATGTTAATTTGGTTGGGAGTTTTAATGTGGTTAAAGCTGCTTTGCCTGGTATGAAGGCGAGGCGAGGCGGAGCTTGTTCTATTGCTCTCGTCTCGTCTCAAGCCGGTCAGGTTCGTTTCTTTAGATGAGCTTTGTTTCTTGTGGGGGTGTGTGTTTGATGAATGGATGTTGTTTTTTTGTTGTAAGGTGGGTGTCTATGGATATGCTGCGTATTCGGCGAGTAAGTTCGGGCTTCAAGGTTTAGCGCAGTCGTTGCAGCAAGAAGTTATTGCTGATGATATTCATGTTACTCTTGTTTTTCCTCCGGATACTGATACTCCTGGTTTTGAGGAAGGTAAAGCTTTTGTATATTTTTTAAAGATTTATATGTATGGATCAAGGTTCAAGAAATCGCTAGGCTGGTTAGACATCTTATAGAAAGATTATTGTTTAGGTGGACGCGTAAATCGATTTTTTTGAATGCATAGACCTTTTAAATTTTCTGAAAAAAATTGTTTTGTATAGGTGCAGTATAGACTGATTTTTAGAACACTGGTATGGATAGAGTATAACAGCACATGAAGGTAGCTGGGGTTAGGTAATGTCACTACTGAGTTTCCTTTTAGTGAGTTAAATGAATCAATAAGTTGGAGACCGAGGACATAAAGGTTGTACTATATGGTTGGGAGATGTGAAGACCTGAAACTAGCGTTGATATTTAGTTGTTTTCATGAGATCAAAAACCTGTGGCTTTATCTTGTTTGAATAATTGTAATTGTATCCAAATCGTAGTATTGTGTTTTGGTATTTATGTCACTCTTGTGCCCTTATGATTAGGTAGTGCCACTAATGAGTTTCCTTGTACTGACTTAAATGCATCAAAAAAGTTAGAGACAGACTACATAAAGGTTGTATTATATGGCTGGGAGATATGAAGACATGAAACTATTGTTGATCTTTGCCCTTTGGTTGTTATTATGAGATCAGAGCTGTCTCTTATCTGGTCTGAATAAATTGCATACGCTATCAAACTCGTAGTATTTCATTTCTTTTTCTTTGTATTTATTACGAGATTGCCAGGTAGGAGAAACTGATACAGTGATGTGCTAAGTAGTACTGAGTACTGAATAAAGGCATGAATATTTTATCTTCACATAGTGTCTGAATTTTCGTAGAAGACAATTACTAAGAGTGGAGTAAAACTGATGCTCTGACTTGGTTTATTTTATGAAGTTGAAGATGACGATAAGGGTTTTTATTTGATTTTTCTTGTTTTGCTCTCACAGAACAGAAAAGCAGACCTGAGGTCACTGCCATAATAGCTGCGTCCTCTGGTTCAATGAAAACAGAAGAAGTAGCCAGAAAAGCTTTGGATGGCATCAAGGCAGGAAAGTTCACAGTCTCATGTAATTTTGAAGGATTTTTACTGGCTCTCGCGACAACCGGCATGTCTCCTCAGAGATCGTTTTGGCTTGCTTTTCTTGAAATTATCACCGCAGGGCCTATAAGATTAGTAGCTCTCTTTTTCCAGTGGGATTGGTATAATGCCATAGAAAAGTGGAGCAAAACCAAAACACATAGTAAGCAGCTAACACCTTCAAGCGATTGACACTGCTTTATCCCTTACTCTTTTTGCTACTTTAATTTTGTCTTCTCATTTGTAATTCCAGAAAGCTAGATGGGTATCTGAGACCTTCTTCTGACATTGGAGTCTCTCATTTACTGCCACGCCCAGCTAGTGCTTAGTGGACTATCCAATTCAGATTATGGACAGATTCATGACGGTGTCATAACAAGTTATGTTGAGCTTTTTGTAGACTTGTAGTAGCGAATCTAAAGATTTGACATGAATGTAATAGCCAGCTACACTGTATTTTCCCTTTGTCAAGAAGTGAATGTTTTTCACTGTTTGGTTTAACTCTAAAAAGGTTAATGAATCCAGACACAAGCCACAAAACGTATACTTTTTGTGTAAACTGTGCTTGCCTAAAATAGCGGGCAATCTAAACTGTAAACTGTGCTTGCTTAAAATAGCGGGCAGTCTAAACTTGAGTGTTACGCAACGACAAGAAGTTTATTTCAGAAATTAAAGTTTTGAGAAGTGGCATCAACGTTGTTGTTCGCAGCACTCTTCCACAGTCATCGAACAACAAGAGGTGGAAGGCAGTCTCATTCTAAGGCAGCGATGGCGATGTCTATTCTTAAGCTAAGAAACTCACCAGTTTTGAGACCGCCGCAAATGTTGCCAGGACTTTCTCAAAGCTCTCAGAAGGCACGGACATAACCTCGGCGGCGCCAGGCGTTTCCCTCCAGAAAGCTCGCAGCTGGGACGAAGTCGTTTCTTCCAAATTCTCCACCACACACCATTGCCAGACGGGAATCTCAGATTTTCTGACATAACCCTTGTTGTTATTGGTTGCAGGGGAAGAAAGTCGAGAAATCTTCTTACTACTTTTTATTATCATATGTGTTAATTTGCCATTGATTGGTTATTGTCTCAAGCTTACATTCACATAAATAGATGATTAAGTATGACGCCATGACTTTGATATAATGATCTGTGATTGTCAGATTGAATTTTATGGAGATTTTGATGAGAAATTCCATAAAAGCTTGGGGATAGACAAGGATCTCTCTGCTGCATTGCTCGGGCGGGCATCGATCTGAGAGGTAAGCACACTTGCAGAGTCTGCTTTAAGCAAACTCATATCCCTGTATCCATTTGATCTTATAGATTGGTTGTGTATGATGTTGATGTGCAGATGGTCGACTTATGTAGAAGACGGGAAGGTTAAGGTTGTGAACATGGAAGAAGCACCCTCTGACTTCAAGGTGTCGGGAGCTAAAATCACTTTAGGACATATCAACAAGTTCTTCTCTTGCGTCTTCTATCTGCTCTATATATAATTTGAAACTGAAAATAAGTTTGATCTTAGCATCTCCAAAGGATATCACACCAGATTAGCAACTTCAATCTTTTCTTTTTGGTTTCTCCCAATGTTTTGAAAACCGGATCGGACATCGACTCGGCATCATCACTGGATAGCTGGTCTGACCGGTTGAACCGGTTGAACCGGAGTTTTGATTTTCTTTAAATATACACACCCACATATATAATATTAAAATGGAACTATCATAAAACACTTTCAAAAACATACGATTTGAAAATATTCAGTTATAGATACAAAATATAACTAATCAAAGAAGATTTAAGTAAATAATACATAGATTATTATATAAATTATAAGTTCCCTTATTTCTTAGAGTATTTAAATGAGAATTTCTTTAACCAATTTTAATTTCCTTACTTTGAAGTAAAAGAAACATAAAAANTTATAGATACAAAATATAACTAATCAAAGAAGATTTAAGTAAATAATACATAGATTATTATATAAATTATAAGTTCCCTTATTTCTTAGAGTATTTAAATGAGAATTTCTTTAACCAATTTTAATTTCCTTACTTTGAAGTAAAAGAAACATAAAAATAGAAAGATTTCCTAGACAAATGATAATATTTGCATTAAATTGTAACGCAAAAAAGGAAATAAAGGATGCAATTTAGAAAACCGGATTCTAAAACTAAACCGGGTCATTGGTTTTGCCGGTTTTCAACCGGTTTTAGCGGTTTAGGTCACATCCGGGTTACAACTTAAACCGGACTCGGCTACAAAGACGATTCACGGTCAGACCGGTTGGACCGGCCGGTCCGGTCCGGTTTTCAAAACCTTACTTTTAGTTTCAATAAAATTGTTTGTTTGTTATGAGTTATATATACTATTGGTTTTGGCCCATATAAAGAAAATGTAATTCATACCCTAGTAAGATGCATTCTCTATAAGAAGTTTTGTTGTTAAGAATCTATTGGGCTTAGCCGATATACTGAATGTTCAGTTCTGATTAAAGACAAAATAGTCAAATGAATCAATTTTTCTTTTCTTTTTTTTATCAAACTGCAAAAGCAAAAATTCAATATTTATCTAAATGCAAAAGTTAAACTAAAATCATAGAATGTAACAGCATGTGCTATGTATGTTCCAAGACATCCCGTGCCAAAACAATATCCAGTCCCCAAGAAAATGGAAGAATTTTTAAACTAGATCCACGCTCTTCACGTCCGGTTATGTGCCTCGCATAACTGCCATCTAACCAAACATTCACGATAGCGAGCTTGATATCTCCTTCCACAATAATCTCTGCATTGGTGGTATTGAATATTTCATAATGACTTAATTTTTTCTGTAATATACTAAAACCAAAGATAAATTTAATCTATTGATTTTTTTTTTTAAAAAACTACACTTAACACAACAGAAATTTGAAATAAATATAAGAAAATATATTCTATCAAAACGATGATAAAGGTTAAATATGATAAAAAGTAGGGTTAATATGTTAAAATTGATGATAATTTGATGATTTGGTGGCTGCTAAAAATGAATAAAATCAAAATTAAACATTCTTGTTTGGTGTATAGTTTTTTCTGTCTTAGTTGTACTATTTATATATATCAAATTGATTAAAACAATTGTGTGCCTATAAGGTTATGTAGAAATGATCAAATGTGACAAATTATCATATGTTATGGTAAATTAAAATTAGTAGAATAAATTATTATTGAAATAGGAATTGAATGATTTTTAGCAAATAATGCTCTAGGCCAAAGTTTAATTTTATAAGGTAGGAACGCTTGTTTCACTAATTGCATAAGATGACGATTGTGAAACCAATCTGCCATAGTAGCAGCATGGCTTGAGGATAAAAGAAGATTGTAGGGATAAGTGGAAATTTTGATGGCTGGACTGCTATACTGCTCTACTCGCTATTTATTTAGATTTGTTCTACTCGCATTGTATGTAAATATTTATAATAGAGAAAATATTTTATAGTTTACTGGTCAATTATATGGTTATTTTGATCTAATCATCGGCTAATGGGTCTACCATTATTTTATTATCAACTGGTTCAATATCCTGTTATATTAATATTGTCCATATTAATCTAATCAATGTTTTTTTTTTAATCTAATCAATGTTATATATATATCTTTTAGCAAAAAAGGAAAAAAACGACGAAGTTAATAAAAAAAATTAACAGTTCGGTCATTACGAGTGATGAGAAAAATGTATATATGGCACTATGTATAAAAATAAATTTGAGGCAAGTTTAATTATACGTAATATTATTTCACCTTATACAAAAGAAAACTAAAAAGAAGAATGTAGATGTCATCTGCTTATGGATAATAATTATGAGATTTCTTGTACTCACTGTATATCTTTCCTACCTAATAGGATTTCTGTCTGAGAGTGTACCAATCAATTTAAACCGGCCAACTTCCTCTTTTCTCTATGGCCCTGGTTGATCTTATTTTCAGGTCAAATATTTGAATTAAGATAATCAGCCATTTTTCAAAAATGATAATAAATCTTACCTGTCTATTCATGTAAACTTCTCGATCATGGTTCAACTGGTTAGTTTTTCATAATAAGCATCCTGAAATACGCATTCGATATTTCGATTTGCGATGTTAATGTCTCCTTCCCATCCCACATCAAGTTTTTTTTTTTTTTGTAATAGGCCAACTAACTACAACAATTATGCACCAAATATTAGCAAAAAAACAAAACTACTAAAGTTATTTATTTATTTATGCGTCAAATAATCTTCGCTTATAATTTCATCTATCACAGTTCTTGGTATTAATTCATAAAAAATGTGTCTCGGTTTAGATTTGTTGCTGATTGAGCTATAATCTATAAACAGAATCTCACACAGTCTCAACATACGTACTGAACATGAAGATGATCTGAAAAGAGAGAGCTTGAGTCTTTCAAATCGCTACTCCTGAAAACGAATGTGACCCACCTCCAACAACTAGCTCGCAAAAACAAAATTTTCAATAATTTTTACAAATCATTTTCCTCTCTTTCTTCCGTGATAATATAGTTTTCTAATAAAACTAGATAGACCATCTAAATACAAATCTTATATGTACTTATATAGATCCCATTGCTTGATTTTGGTTACGAACTTGCTGGGTTTGGTTGGACCATTCGTTCTGTTATGTTGGATCTCTATGCATTGATCAGAAACATCATTTAGTAAACACCCACGATTTAAACTTACCACCTTTTTGTAACACATGATAGTTTGCTGTCCTGACAAGACTTTGGAGATTGAGAAAACTCTTTCTGATGTTTTTTTTTTTTTGGTATGATATAGATAGAGTAATAGAGTCATGAAGAAGCTTATATCACTTTTCAAGAATGTTCATTCTCGCCAATGCCAAGTAAACTGGTCTGTGGAAGTACGTTTCCTGCAACAAGATTCTGTGTCTAAACGCAAGAAATATAAGTATCCACCAGTTTATGATCCGTATGGTCCTAGACCTCAGCCTTCAAGCAAGATCATGGATCTAGCTGAGCTTATAGCTGCATTATCTCCACAAGAGCGAAAACAAATCAGTCCTGGGCTCAATGAACACCTCAGGCTTCCAAAGCAACAGATGATTTCAACACAAGTCATGAGTATGGGAACGAAACAAGAACTGGGACGGGAAAAACAGAGGAGAAGAAGGAGAAGACGTCTTTCAAAGTGAAGCTGGAGAAGTTTGATACAGCTTCAAAGATCAAAGGGATAAAAAGAAGTGAGGGCGTTTACGAGTTTGGGTCTGAAAGAAGCGAAAGAGCTTGTAGAGAAAGTACCATTTGAGATTAAACAAGGTCTAACGAAGGAAGAAGCTAATGGAATCATACAGAAGATCAAAGCTGTAGGTGGAGTCGCAGTTATGGAGTAAGTTTGTCTTTTAGTATTGTGATCACATCTTGGCACTTACAGTAGATGTTTTGTAATAACAAATCAATGAAATCATTTGAGTTCTCAACATGTTCAGGTCAGTAGAGGGTTGGTTTCCTTACATAGTTACATAGTTTCGATGGAAATACATAATGGCTTGTTTCTTTGTTCAACGTTCATAACATAACGACCACGTATTAGAGGATGGATATGATCCTCAACGACCTAGTTAGTTAAAAGGCTTTGAACGTTTGGCGCAATGTCAATGTCCAACGGACAAAAAAATCTTAACACAACTCTATAGCGTAAAGGATACGTAACCATATTCTAACCCTCTTCTACATCAATAAATAAAAAGCCATTCATGGCCAAGAAAAAATAAGAGAAAACATCACCAAGGGAGTTGTTGAATCAGTTTCAATGGCGATTTACAAGCTTCCACTTCTCCTTCTCTCCGTGATCGTTCTCTTCCTTAGTCGCCATGTGCTTAGCGACACCGGTAACTTCATATATCTTCCATGATCTTCTTGTTCAAGTACTCTTGATTAATTCAATCTGTTTACTTATGGTGTTTTAAAATGAGTTAAGTTTTATGAGCTTCCAATTTAATACCTGCTCAAGGTGTGAAAGGTGATTATTCTTGTTGGTACATCTCGAACCGAATCTTATTTTACAATCTCTGATACCATGTTAAAATTTATGAATCTTCAACTTAAAATCAATTGGTGATCGAGTGAATTAGTTTAAATGGCTTATAAATTAGTGTTAGTCTTTCTAAACTTCTAATGTGAGATCAAAACATGTTCTAAATCTCATAAGAAACCACTAGAAAAAAATGTTTATTCATCAAGTGCACTGATCTACTTTGAGAATATGCTCCTGCGAGTTATAATCAGAGTTTTGGGTTTGCTGCAGATGAAGAGGACGTTCTTTTCTTAGGCATCAACAGCTAGAGAACATCACAGAATCTTAGAGCATGTGCATTGGGAACTCTTAAAGGAGTTCTTAAGGAGTGTGGAACCCATTTTCTTAGAGTTTGTGTCAAAAAGAATGCTTAAAATCATTTGGTAAGGATTAGTCCTTACACTGTTCACGGGTCCATTGACCACGTGGCGGCCCGTGAATATCTTCTTTTTTTTTCTTTTTTTTAAAAAAAAAATTTGAAATATCCAAGATTAATCCTAAATGTCCTTGTCGCTAAAGACTCTAGTGAGTCTCACCATTGCACATGCTCTTACAACCTTAAACAGTAACGAGAACACAGAGTGTCTAGCAGAAGAAATCGCTGAACAATTCAAGAACAAACCATGCACCAACGACACTGGCTCAGCCACAGTATCTGGAACCTCTTTCAACTATCAAATCTATTATTTAATTATTATATTATCAGTTGATAATGTATATATGTATATGTACTTGTGTAATTATACGATTCTTATAATATTTTGTAAAGAGTTTTGTGAAATAAAATGTGTGTTATTCAACAAAAGTGATTCTAGTGGCTTCAACTTTTCTGTTTGTGATGTTTACTATTTGGGGAAATAGTTTTTTAGGTCAAAAAAATGGTAACATTGTCCATTTAGACTAATCTCTATTACTTTATGTCACATTAGGCTAAATATTTTTTAAATGGCAATAATGCCCTTTAATTCAATTAAAAATCTTAAAAAAAAAAATTAAAAATAAAAATCCTCAAATTGCAAAAAAAACGAGAAGAAGAAACTGCTCTATCCAACGGGATCGATCGATCCCAGAAACAGTCGGTCGATCCGTCCGGCGTGAGCTCCCAAATCAATTTTTTTTCCTAATTTTTAATCAAAAAATCGATTTTATTTATGGAAATTGAATATTTTAAAATATTTTCTTCATATATTTGCGGAACAGAATATTCTTATCCGTAGAATGTGTATTCTACTATATGTAGAATACAATAATAATGTTTGAAATCAGGTTCTATAGGTTTCAGATTTATAATAATGTGTAGATTCTGATTTCTACTTATTTTAGATTTTATAGCAATATGTAGAATCCGTTTTAGAATGATAATTTAAGCACAAAATCTGTATTCTAAACATAGTAGATTCAATGAAAAAAGTGGATTTCATTTTCTACTTTGTAGAATGTCACTTCTAATTTATGTAGAACATAATTTGAAAAAAAAAGATTTAAACAATTTTAGAACTTGAAAAAAATTCCACTAGATTAATATTGGTGTTTCATAACTAGTTATTATTTTTTTGAATTTTTTTGTTTTTAAAAATATTTATTTAATTTATTTTCGAAATTAATAAAGGACATTATAGGAAAAAGTGGTACAAAAAAATTAACCTAAAGGGATAATGTTACTATTTTTTGGCCTTATAAAAAAATTTTCCCTTACTATTTTGTTTTACATGTAATAAAATAGATTGTGGAAGTTTTATTGTTTCGCTAAGTAGTTGGGAACTTCTATCTTGGTTTTTTTTTTTTTTTTTTGTTCAAACCATGATTTCATTACTTAAAAGCCCATAGAAGTTTTAGGCCCAAACTGGGTCCAGTACAACAGGTGAAGAAAAAAGACGAAGGGTTTCTTTTGCTAAGCCATCGGCTTGCAAATTC